TCCATTTCACAATTTGCAGAGTTGATTTCAAATACTTCACCACTTCTTTATAGATGCATTCCTCCCCTCAGAATATGCTTTTGGGATGCCCAATGCCAATGGCTCTCAGTGCTTCCCACCTTGATGCCCCCCTAGGCTCATGCCAAAGCCTTCAAAAGCCCTTTTGGTTATATGGGGGAGGCCAGGCAGAATGCTAGCATTACCTGGGGCTTCTAACACCATTGATCTAAATAGTTCAGACAGATGTGAGAAAAGCCCTGAATATGTACCAAAGAATTCCTTTGTTTCCCCATACTCTATCTTTGCTAATTTATTTTTAATATCCTTGTACCAGAGGCTCCTTGACCTCTTGCCATGGAGGATTTCATTAATTATTTTAGACTGACCGTAGTGAGATATGATATTGTGATATTACAAGAAATATAGATTTGCTCTTCAACCCCAGTATCTAGCACAGAAATTCTAAAACCCTTGGAATTTCCTGAGTAGTGGAGGTGAGAGGAACATCTCTTGTTAGTCATAATAAGCTCCTTTCAACCCTACCAGAGTTTATGCTAATACGGTAACTCCTGGAAGAGGGGGTATTGCTGCCAAAAAGACCAATCTTGTGATTAGAAGGTTGGACCTTTGAGTCCCATCCCTGACCTCCAGGGAGGGGAGAAGGGCTGGAGACTGTGTTAACCACCACTGATCAAGGATCAAATCAATCCTACCTACATAATGAATCTCCATGAAAACCCTACCTAAAGGGGTTCTGAGAGCTTCTGGGTCAGTGAACACATCTAGGTGCCAGGAGGGTGGTGAACCCCAATTCCATGAGGTCAGAAGCTCCTGACCCTTCCAGACCTCACCCTATGTACCCTTTCATCTGGCTGTTCATCTGTATCCATTATAATAAACCAGAATAGTAGGTAAAGCATTTTTCTGGATTCTGTGAGCCGTTCTAGCAAATTACTGGGCCTGAGAAGGGGGTTATGGAAATCCCTGATGTGTAGCCAAATCAGACAGAAGAGTGAGTAACCAGGGGACCCAGTACTTGTGATTGGTGTCTGAGGTGGGGGATATCTTGTGGGACTGAGCCCTTAACCTGTAGGGTCTGTGCTAACTGGATAATTATAGTCAGAACTGTTTAATGTGAGGGAGAAAAACCTTACTTACAAGGTGTCAGAAGTGTTGTGAGTAGAGAAATAGTTTTCTTTAATGAGGTTATTTAGATTACAAAAAAAAAAAATTCAAATACATATCAAAAGAATTTAAGACTAGCACTTCTCACACCAGGTTTCTATATGCTTTTAACAAAAAGCACAAGAAAAAGTTATACATACATTAGGCTCTGTAAACAAGCTGATCCTAAGCCAGAACCCATTTAGTCTGAATTGCCCATGAGTAGTATTCTAATGTTGATTTATAACCCAAGTCTCTTTACTATTCAAGGCAACACACAGCCCTAAGCTCTGGCATCAAAACAGCCACCAACAAATTAGCATTAAACTTGCAAAATTCAAACCAATATCTACACCCAGAGACTCTGACACAATAAGGCATTGCACTGTACTCCAGGATTACATAAAATATAAACCTGAATTCATGTATTTAAATGGAATATGGCCATTTTTCAAAAATATCTGCCACGTATTTTTATTTTAATATTTAATTTTACATTTAGTTTAACACTCTCGTTAGCATCATGAGTCACAAAGTTTGTATCTGTAAAAGCCTTCAATTGTGGATTTTTAAAATACAATCCTACATAGCAACTCTAATAATTAATTTTAACCTCCTGTATAAAAAGGATGTTATGGTATTTTTGTTTATTAAGGATTATCTTAACTCTTCATTTTATACATAAAGAAACTAAGTCCAATGACAGTAAATGACTTACCTGAGGCCAAGAACTCCAAGAATCCTTAGCAAAATGATATACTGTTCCAAAGTAAAGTATTCTAAAAATAATATATTTAATGCCACTGATGTGAAATATTGGTTTCTCTCAAGGTACGTTATTCTGATGTTCTGTAGGATATTAATAGATACTCAGCAAATGGGGATTCTTTGGTCAAGTAGTTTGTAAGTGTTGAATTAAATGCAGACTCATAGAACTTCTACTATACTAATGGGTTTTATGAACCTCCAAGAGAAATACAGTAGGCAATTTGTTTTGTAAACTTATTTAACCAGAGATGTCATTTCCCCCATAGAATGTAGCAGTACATGAATAGGAAATGCTGTCTTAAGCTGTTTCCTAGAGATTCTTCTTGTTTCCCCAGAAATAATCATCTCATAGTGTCACCAGAGGAATCTTTCTAAAATTTTATCTGGTTATCCAGTTCTTCAGCTTATATCTCTTTAATAGTGAGTGCCCTTCTGCCATCTGGGACAAGCCCATGCTGGCATGGTATATAAGGTCCTTAATAATCTGTACAGACCAGATCTTATCACTCTTCACCTGGAACTTTACGATTCTAAGCTGTACTTGTAAATTCTCTTCTCATCCCTACGTACCTGAGAGATGCCGCAAACTCATATCCATTAATAGCGGCTGAGGGGTGTCAAGGAGTTCCTTAAGAGGTATGTCTGACTCTTAGAGGTCTCGGGAGGTAGGCTTGCAGACATATAGCTTGAGAAATGACCTTGCTCTCTTTTTTAAAAAAACAACCCTTTAAAAATGTAAAAATTTTTTCTGAGTTTATAACGCTGAAACAGACAAAGGCCTTCATGTGGCCCCACTGGCCAGTTTGCTGACTCCTGGATTACAAGAAAGCACAATTTAGGACATTCGAGAATGCCCACAATGAGTACTGTCTCATAGCAGGGAAAGAAAATGAAGGATGCGCCATACCTAGAGACTGTGGAAGCCAGAACAAGATGGCACAGGGGGCAGCTAGCAGAGTTTGGTTGAGGTACGGCAGTGAAACAACCAGGCAAGACAACCCCTGCTCACAACTGTCTCCCCATTTGAGACCTGATAGCTCCTGAGTTAAGAGTATCTGTTTCTAGGTGGGAACACTGCCTGAACAAAGACATAGAATATATTTCCAATTGCAGGTAGCATCCAGGAAAAGCAGGAAGCATACAACTCAGAAGACCGGCTACCAATATATCCTACTCAGCATCACCCCATACCAGTTCCGCATACTCTGAAAACGACAGGAAGCACAAGCTGCAACAACTGTGTCTTCCCCTTGGCTTGAATGAGCTGAGTCATAGAGAATGCAGACCAGATGATAAGAAATCTCACGCAAAAAATGAGCTCACAATTAGCAATCCAGCTAGATATCTGAGGAATGCAAATGAAAGAGGTGATAAGAATTTGCACCCAAGGAAAAAGAATCCATAGAGAAAATGAAAAAACAACTTTAAAAATAATTAGAAATACAAAAGGGGGAAACACATTCATGAGGAAAAAAGGAACTATTTTAAAAATCCAAATAGAATTTTAAAATTAAAAAAAATAATGTTGAAATAAAACATTCACTAGAAGGGCTAAATAGAAAATCTGATGTGCAAATTTCAGAGAAATAATACATGGAGAAACTTAGATCTACAGTACAAAAGAATGAAGATATGAAAAGTATAAAAAGATGTTAAAGGATAAGAAAAATATATAACTGTAAGTTTTGTCATCTAATAAAAGTTCCATAAGAAAAGAATAGGAAGGTCATACAAAAGAAATATTTGAAGAGCTGACAAATCCTCAGAATTAAAATATAAATAACTTAGCAAGGCAAAAAGGCCTGTCAGGTACTTCCCTAAGAATTAAGGGAAATTATACATATGTACATATATACACACATATCCCCAGACACAGTGTAGTGAAATTTCAGAAATGTTATGGTAAAGAGAAATCACAAATATAACCAGGAAAAAAACAGATAAAACAAAGGTGCAAGAATCAGTAATATACTTATCAGCATCACTGGATGCAAGAGAACAATGGAGCAGTATCTTCGAAGGACTTAAGAAATTTTGCATCTAGAATTATGTTATCTAGCCAAACTACTGGCACTTAACAAGGCATCGAAAAGACATTTTTGGACAAGCAAACACTCGAAGTTTATCACTAATAATGGTTCAAGGAGATAGTGGTAATATATAAGAAGTGATATTGAGTGTTTCCCAAATAAGCAATGGTGATGAAAAATGTCATTTACTAACAATCTGAGAAGTTAAAGGAAAGATAACACCAGCATGGGAAATGAAGTAGAAATCTGAGAAAAGTAAAAAATATAATAAGGTTCTTAACCTACTTGAGAAGATTTAGAAACTGATTTTTCCCCTTAACTGCTTCTAAAATTAATGTTAAAATGTATGTTAAAATTTAAAATGGATAATTAGAACGAAAAATTAGAGGGCAAAAATAAAGTGCATGAATGTACAGACATAAGAAAAAAGTGTGGGAGGGCCTAGCTCCAGTAATAATGAACTACTCGTGGCTTTCCACACCTGCTAATACTGTCCACTTTTTCCAGCAGCCTGAGAACTGCCTTCATCGAAACCTTTCCAAAAATTCCCATCTTTCTCCTTGCTCCCACCCAGTCCCACTGTATGATAAACATATTTCAATCACAGCATCTATGACACTTCATTAAACTGTTGACAAAAACAATCTTGACTCAACATAAGTTCCCTGAGAACCAGGAGAGCCTCTTCATTTTTATATCCTTTCCCCCACTGTAGTTATTCAACATTTGTTGAATGGATGGATATAAAGGCAACTTTTACACATTTAAAACAATTAGAGACTAATAAGAGACTGTATGTGTCAAAGCCTATAAATGATTAAATGATGGTAAATTATTTGTTGCAAGAGGGCAAGGGGCATGTCTATAGCATTTCAGAAAAAGTCATCCTGCCTCTTTTTAAGTTTAGAAATCAACTCGACAATGCAGGAGGATACATTAGGCAATGTTAAGGTGTCTTCCACGTCCAAGGCTCTAAGTTTAGATAGAGAATAAATTTAAGAGACACTTTGACTGATTGTCCCTGAAATCATACTCCACCTGCAGAAGCTCTATGTCTTCATGGTTTTCAGATCCAGGAATATTCTCCATCAATATGTTAGACATCACTCTCACATTCATCTTCACCATATCTAACTCACTGAGCAATTTTCCAATCTGCAGAGAACAACACAGTCACCAGTCAGTGTGTGTGACACAAAGAATGGCTACCTTCTTTCCTTCTCTCAGGGAACATTTACTGAAAGAGGAAATCTTTTGTAAAACTTGATATTTTCAAATTTAATATTTTAAATTAATATATTTATAGATTTTATAAATGTATAATATGTCACCAAAAATGGACTTAGCATCTCTTATAATAAATCCAAAAGTATGTTCTAGGAAAGTTAAAAATAAAGGGAAAAAAATCGGATTAGAACCAATATGGAGAAGGGGGAAGGTGACTACACCAGGAACCAGGATGAACTGGAAAATGTTGGTCTGGGTTTCTTGGCAACTAACAAGAAAAGGCAAGAAAACAATGAAGGCGTTATTCTTCTCATGGTGTTAGAGAAAGAAGAATCAAGGCAGAATCACTTTTGTTTTCTTACTGGATTAAATTCTGAGAAGTTAATCACATGTATGTTTTTATAATGCTGAATAATAATAACACAAATTTCTCAAGGACAGTTCCCTTAGAGCAGGATGAAAATGAACTTCATATAATAATAATTGCTTATCTGGACCTTTCATAAACAGATATAGACAAACAAGTAAATGTAATTTCAGTTGGCACAATTAATACTAGCAATAAGGCTACCATTTACTGAGGTTTCTGAAATGATATATGGACAATCCTACCAAGAGCAATTGGAATCAGCTAGTTGACACAAGAGCCATTCCACAGCCCAGTGTCCACGAAGACACAAAAGCCACTAGCCACGCACAACTGTTAAGGGCTCAGGCTTTAGGGTCAGACAGAATCCATGGGATTAAGTCCATTTAGAACTGAATCCCAATAAGTCACATAGCATGATCACTAAGCTCCAGTTCCCACCTCTGCAGAATGAGGGTAATAATGTATCTCCACCTCACAACGTGAAGAACAAACGAATTGTATATAAACTGCTGAGAACTTAGAAAAAGTCATCAATAAACACAGTTGTTGCTATTGTTACCTGTTCTGGGACCAATGTAATAGTCGTGCTTCGGGGAACAATTACAGAAGAAAGAGCTGGTGCAGTAGGACCAGATGTTGGTGGTTTCGATGAGATCTGAGCAGTCTATCAATGAGATATGTACACATTATTATTTGAATTAACATACCCACCCCAAGCCTGGTTTTTCCATTCCAATGACTCAATCATTTTCTCTCAACGAAAGTTCAGGTTAGAGGGTGTTAGCCCAGAGTGAATCATCAAGTGTACAACCTACTCAGCATTTTTAGAAGAGTACTAAGCTAGTGGTGTGCCTATAATAAAGTATTCAATAAAAGGTGGCTATTATGATTATTAACTAAGTTAAAATTTAATAAAACACTCTTAGTTTTTACCAAAGGTCTACCAGATAAACTGTTATGTGAATTACTGCTGTCTTCTCTTTGGGTTGTTAAAAACAAATGGTAAATCGATTCATGTCAAGTCTCTTTTAAGTCACAGCTGGCAAGGCTTCTCTCCTTTTCCAGCAATGACATCCGCTCACCCCCGAGTGGGGCTTGAGCCCAGTGCTTCTCGACATTAATGTGTAGAGAAATCCCTTGGAAATCTTGTAAAAATGAGATTCTAATTTACTTCAGGGTTGAATATACCTAACAAGCTCCCAGATTATACCCCACATCATACTTTGAGTATCAAAGTTCTGGGCCACTACACTGTGTCTTGGAAGGAAGAACAAAAGGGGCATGTGAGCAGGCTCATGGGCAGAGAAAAGGAGGAGGCAGAAGGCTAATGGCCAGGAGCAGCCTGCCAAGTAAAAGGATTAGCCCTTGAGACAAAGCTCCCATAAAGATCTGACTTTTGGTATATACCTGAATTCCTTATTCCACCGAGCAGGACTAACCAATCTATGGAAGGAAAGAACTACTGTTTTTGTAGTACAGAAACAATAGAAAATTAGGGGGTGAATTATATAATCAGCCACTCAAAGTGTTATAGTTCAAAACCTTAAAAATTATTTGCAAATGTGGGAATACATGTAAACATCCTCTCCCATGGATACAATATTAATAATAAACAAGTATATTATAAGACTACTCAAGTAAAGATCCTTGTCTAGCAGCAATCCTCTCTTTTGAAAGCTGCCCTCTACTATAGCCAAATGATTTCTATTTGGAGCCCTCATATTCATAGACTTCAGCTGATTTGTGCAGAAATAGAAAACTGACCCAGGTTGGTTTAAGGAGTCTGTTCTCCCAGGATTTTTGACTTGGAATCTGGAAAAGCTAAAGCTAAACCATGAAAATCTGGGAGCTGTTATCCACTAGGTGGAAAAAGCTAGTCTGTAATGAGAGAGAGGAATGAAGGTGACAATCACATGTACACACAGAAGTGGACAATTGATAAGGCATTTGAGTGCCTGGTTCGCTGTGGTTCCGAAGATCCAACTAATGCCAACCTTCTTGTGGCTTGTTTATTCTAAGAGATACTGCAATATCCTTCTAATAATTAATTCATCTTTTTGCTTAAGCTAGAGCTAGAGTTGTCTCTTTCAATTAGAAAAGTCCCATATAATAATACTATCTTATTCTGCATGAGTCAAAGAAAGACCTCCTACCTCTTGTTGCTTTGTTTCAGACTCTGCATCTGAGGGAGGAAAATGAACACCTTTCTTAAGCAGGTCAAGGTACACTTCTTTCACTTCACTTACATCCACACCTCCTGGGAAACCCTGGGACCAAGTCTGAAAACAGCAGCAAAAACAGAACAGAATTCTTAAACCAGTGACAGAAAATGAGAGACTGATAATTATGTATCTTGCATCGAATGAGAAAGCTACTTTTGAAAGCCAAGGATAAACTGTATATTTTCAGAGACTAGAATAATACAAAATATTTTTAATCATCAGACTCTCATGCCTCAACATTTTAATGAAACCCTGGAATAGATACTATTGCTTTTTGCTGTACTAAATCCAAATTTAATAGACATATTGTAAAATATCATCAGTAGCTCTTTTGCCAAGTAACTTTGAAAGTAGTCAGTTATCTACTCCAGGACACAGCTTTTATATCTGCAATATACATATTACTCTTTCCTACCTGACATGAATAAAATAGAAACTGAAAGAAAAGTAGGAAAATGACTACAAATTCTTCAGAAAAAGGGTACCATCCAATGCCAAAAAATATTACACAGAAATAAGAGAGTAAAATGCTTTCTGGCTCAATCACAGCTATGTAAAGAATCACTAAACCAATTCGTATATAATTAAATCTCTAATCTTAGAAGTTTACCATCCCATAAGGCATACAACAGACTCACCTTAATGAAATTCAAGATTCTATTCTGAATGTCTAATGGCAAGGTGTATCTGGGATTCAGCAGCTTAACTAGACTATCTTTAATGAATTCCTTCTTCACAATCAGAGATTGGAAACTTGGACCACAGTTCTGCATGCACATGTCAATAAGCTAGAGAGAAAAATTAAACATTAAATTACCTTGACAAAACCACCACCTCCTAAATATAAATACAAATTGCTAAGTAATGGTTTCCACCAGCATCCTAATTAACAACTTAGTGTCTACTAAAACACACAGCAAAATGTTAGGTTCTAGGAATGTGAGGAAGTATAAGGCATAATGCAACTGCTTAGAGGATAGACTTCTTGGGGAGTCAGGACACAATTATAACAGCATTAATACTAATACAAGGTAATAAATAGGAAGTGCAAACAAAACACATAGACTATAGACAGGGTATCATTTGTCTCAATTTTTTCCAGAGAAGTTCTGGTACACCCTGTTTTCCTGATAATTCCCCCCTTTCACTGTCAAAAAAAATGTCCTGGTCTGTGTGATAAATCCCATAGTCACCCTAAATTATAGACCTTTATAGACAGATGTGATAATTTAGGGCCAAGTAGTCTTAAGACTTTTGGTAAAAACTGGTTCTAAACTGGGTCCTGAAAAATAGTTAAGAAGAGTACAAATGAACATAGAGATATATTCTAGACAGGTAAATGATATTAAAAACATATATACAGGTGACAAGCATATGAGTTGTGAGAAGAATAAATACTTTGGTCTGTAGAAGCTTCTTTATGAGGCAAATTGGGGACCCCAAGGAAGTAGGGTAAAGTCTAGAGGGGCATCATGCAGCATGTAGAGAAATTTGCATGGCCATGAAGGAATCTGGGCATTACACTAAGAAACCACTTAAATGTTCTTAATAGTTTGTCACCATCACACTTCTATCTTGAACTTGAAAGGCTGGTGCCAAGCAATACTCAGGAAAGGTTTTCAAGCAGCACTCTACAGGGAGAATTGGGGCAGGGTAGGGGATGGTAAAAGAACATGGAATGATGGAGAAATCTAGCCAGGGACCCAATAGTACAAGCCTGATGCAGAGAGGCCTAAGCTAGGATGATGTGGATGCAAGGAAGGAAAAGCCGTGAGAACTAAGAACTTTCACCAACTGGCTGTCCAAAGATGATTGAAAGTTAACTGGCTGTCATTCTGCATGAGATTGATGGAAATTTGGAAATGGATGGGGTGGTACGATTGGTCTAGGGTAAAACTAATGGGTTGAAATTTAGATATTTTGAGTTTAAAAGTACTAGCGATCTCTTCTAGGCTATTTAGCTAAGATCAAGTGTAAAAGTACTAGGGACTGAATGTTTGTGTTCCTCTCAAATTCATATGTTAAAGCCCCTAATCTCTAATGTGATGGTATTTGAAGGGTTGGAGGGACTTTAGGAAGTTGTTACATAATAAGAGTAGGATCCTCCTGAATAAGACTAGTGCCCTTATAAAAAGGGACTAAAGAGATGATCCCTCTCTTGGCCACATGAGGATAAAACGAGATAGCCACCTACAAGCCAGAAAGTGGGTCCTCATCAGACAGTGGATCTGCCAGCACCTTGATTTTGGACCTCACAGCCTCCAGAACTATGAATAATAAATATCTGTTGTTTAAACCACCCAGTGTGTGGTATTTTTGTCACAGCAGCCCAAGATGACTCAGACAAAAAGGATGGTGGGACATTCTCTAAGGAGAGGTGCTTAGCTGAGAGCACCACAGCACAGCTACAGTTCAGGAAAATGTTAGGCCAAAAGCAAGTAATCAAGGCTGGCTGTGATGAGGAGAGAGGAAAAATGGCTGTAATAATGGGGTTCACCTGTTAGACCGGAAGAAAACTCAAAAAAGGCAACAGAATTGCAGCCAACAAAAAAGCATAAAATAAAGAGAACATAATATTGGTAAAGTCGAAAGAGGGCAGAGTCTCTGGGTGGATGGCATATCAAACAGTTAAGATAATGGACTGAGAAAAGCTCAGCTAGGTTTGTTGTTTGGAGAGGTTATTAGATACCTTGGGGGTGGGGGGAAATTGTTCAATAAAAAAACAAGCAGAGTCAGACTAAGAAAGAATTAGTTGGTATTGAAGAACTGCAAAGAGAAAGCGGATTTCTGAAAGTAATCTAGAAACAAAATTAAATCTCTAGTTTCCATGCTACTATCTCTTGGGTTAGAGAGGTCACAGAAACCATCATGTGGCCAGGACAGGCATAATCATCCCTACAGAAAAGAAGTCCTGAAAATTGACTTTACATCACGCTCTGTATTGTCACTTTAATGGCAATACAAAAATAAGGTATGAAAGCTGTCGTTTTAAGGGCAATGTGGCTAAGAAGGCAATCAGAAAATACAGAAGCTGAGCACATACAGCTATGTGAAACAGGGAAAACATTGAAGGCAAAGGAAAGTAAAAACGAAATCCAAAACATAGTGAGATGAATCTATCTTAATGCAAATTGCTTAGAGAAAGCTAAGTTGAGAGTTAAATAACAAAGACTGTTTGCTTGATACATTATTGAGTGTTTATTAGGTGAAATGCTGAGGAATACCTCTAGTTCGATGGAAATTTATGAAAATACTTCATTCAAGTGGTTATGCAGTCTTAGGCAAGACATCCTCCAAGTCTCGCTTTCTTTAATAGTAAAACGAATGGTGAATTTCTTGCAAAATACACTACAAACCAATTTTTATCTTTGGAGCACCAAGAGAGATTTTATTACAACAGGCATATTCCCAAGAGGTTACGTGTACAAAATCAAGAGACACTGAGACTCTTAACAACTGAGGATCATGAATCATGCTCTTTGTGTTTTCCTATTGGAATCTAGAATTTCGGGACTATTCATTTCTACATCGCCTCTTACCATTATGACACCAGTACTTCTTTCACACCCATCCCACTCCCGGCCTTCTTAGATAAGCAATAAAACCCACTGAGTCAAATTGAAAAAAATATGACTTTACACATTTTGAAATTGGGCTTTGTTGCAATTTATGTGTTAAGATTGTGTTTAAATAATCTATTTTTTGGAAATAGGGCAACCAAGAAACCATAATATGAAGTGGAATAGAGAACCTAGGAGTCGAGGGACTAAGAGAGACCAAAGAGTGTGCCAACTTGGCGCTTCACTCATCTTTTGCTCTTGACTGGGCAAATCACTTATCTTTACACTAAGTTTCAGTACCTTCACCTGCAAAATGAGCACAACTCTTCCCTTTTGAGACTTCTTGTAAGGCTTAAATGAAATATAACGTATATGAAGAGCCTGACACATAGCAGGACCTTAATAAATGGTATTTTGATGGATAATTCCACAGCAGGAGAGAACATATTGACTAGCTGATATAAATATTATTTTTAGAAAGGCTAAAAGAAAAAGAGATACTTGGTAGTTTTATTTCTCACAGTAAATTTCTAAACCAAGCACAGTGAATCAGGCTTTGGGGCCATCCAGAGGTGAAGACCACACCCGGGTGTGGCCACTCTAGGAGCTGAGCTCACTCTACAACAAGCTCCTGGAGGAATAAACACATTTTACACTAATTCTGAAGTCCCCATAGCTAAGCATCTATTAACTAACTAATTCCCTGTTCATCCACCTTCCCTTTGACAATGACAGTATCTTGCTGAGATTTAACCACAATCAAATCATTCAAGAAAAGGTAGCCTCTGTCTAAGCATAATAAAGTCTGGTAACAAAATGCTTTTTAAATAACCACTGGCTTGACAAAACTGCTCCACAACTGATGTGGGAAATCACAGTCACGTCATACCCCACCAGAGACCTAAACAAGGCTAACAAGTCCATGGAAAACCCAAATGACCAATGATATATGGCACATTTATAATTGACTCTGACAGGCATTTTGACAGGCACTTATCACTTCAGAGCAATAAATTGGAAATGTCATCTATGGGTATTCATTTTTAAAGAGTTTTCTGATAAACATATAACTGCCTTTGACAGATGTTAGACGATGCTTTCTGCGACTAAATTCCCTCCTAATCATGTCTGGCTCAACTTAATGTTAAAGTCAGTTCTGAGGTCTTAAATAAACCTCTGCAATACAGTGAGTAGGCTGAGGTGAGCTGATTGGGCCACTAAATCTATGACTTGCATGAAGGGAAATTTGCATGAAGCTACCAAGAGTCCAAGGCTTATTTAGAGAAAACCTAAGATGTAGGTACCTTAATGAACTCTGACCCTAACATTGAGGGGCTATTCTGACACCCTCAACCTGTAACTCCCCCTTACTTTGGCACAGGTTTTAGATTTACTTGTTCTCATGTACTAGTATGGAAATCACAAGGTGGAGGGCGTAGTTACTTGAGGTGGAACAAGTAATAGGAACAGGCAGCTAGCCGGTAGTAAGGCTTGAGAGATCAGACTACTTGAAGGGAAGAAAGAGTGGGATCCCAGACAAAAATGGAGGGCCAGAAGAGACAACACTCTGGAATAACGCAGCCTCTTCAGGGATGAATGAGTCCTAGTTCATTCTCACAAGGAAAGAACCATGACAGAGGAAGATAAGGAGACAGCGAGAAGAAGCAACCACAGAAATGCCGAGTAGGCTGAGTGCGAGAGAAAGAGAGACAAACCCATTACAGAGAATCAACAACTTTAAAAAAGTGTGATAATACCACTTGCTGAAATATAGAAAGTGGCATAAATTCATCCTCTACACCTTATCTTCCTCACTCGATTCTCCTATCCTTCGGCAGCCTTGAGGTGTCTGAGATCCACTTCATTCCACACTTATATTTCTACCCCGATTCTATGGTATGTTCCATTAGTACTTGAGTCTTTTTGGATACTAAGAGAGGTACACTGGGGGACCCCCACGAAATCATTAATTCAGTCGACACCTGCTGCATTGATAGATGTATGGGTCCTGCACCATGCATGAAGGAATCAAAGACAGAAATGAATCACAGCAGCTCATTCTTTCAAGGGGTTTGATTCATTCTGAGAAGCAAGGTGGTATAGGGCAAGGGCATGGGATTTATAATGAGGGCTGAGTTGAAATCTTGCCTAGACCACTTAAATCTTGGAAGTGGGAAATCACAATCTCACTAGCCTCAGTTTCTTCATCTGTGAAATGGAGTTAATGAGACAACCACCTCGCAGCGGGAGAGAGCATCGATCAGGTGTCAGGCAAAGGTTTCTTTCCATCATCAACCCACTGTTCTGATATCTCTACTGAAGCGCCTTACTCCTCTCCCCAGAGTTCCCTCCATTCTGTGACCTCCCTCAATGGCTGTGAGGAGTAAAGGACAGGGGAGAGTTCAAAAAAAGGTGAGGAAGGAAAATGCCTCTAAAACTATATTCAGATGCCAACTTGAAGGATTTCTTCAGTGATGGCCTCATTAAAACTATTTGATTCATTTCTTCTCATTCAGTTACTCTTCGAGTAAGATTATCAGAAGTTTTCTTCCCCATGAAACTAGGAAACAGGAGCTGTGCTCACCTCTGCCCCATGGCCCTCTTGATAAACACTCCTAAAGCCTCTAAGAGCAGTGTGATGCTGGCTGATTAGTGCCATAATCATGCGTGTGCTGGGCAGAGGTCCAAAGGCATGCAGAAGAAATTAGAAAGCCACACAGCTCACTCTCAGGCAGCAGGCAAGGCTTGTAAAACGTATCAATTGAAGTTAGAAGGGCAACTCACCAAAGTGATTGAAGAGGTTATATGGCCAAGGATGGGGGAAAATAGTAACAGATCAAATAACTGTCCATACCAAATTCACAGATAATATGGCACACAGAATTGCTTAAATCAACAAAGAACTTTCTCCAAAATATACCAAGCAGCAGAATTTGTTTGAAACTTAATTAGCTGCCAGCCAGCACCTCAGAATTCCACAAGGGTGTTCGAGTGCAGTACAAAGCTAACAGGGAGGCATTTTTCAAGACTTCAATTCTCCCCACATGTAACATATACACACACCTCTTGATCAGCTCAGTAGCTACAAGTTTTAACCATAAGTTCCCATTTCCTTATCAGGAAAAACCAGTTTTCCAGGAATACTCTTTCCACAAAATTAAATATAGGGGTGAAAGGGGTTAAATATTTGGTGACGGAAGGAAATTTAACTTTGGGTGGTGAACACACAATGCAATATATGTACAACATACAGTGGAATTGTATACTTGAAACTTATTTGATTTTATTAATGTCACCCCAACAATTTTTAATTAAAAAAATGCTATTACAATCAACTAAATTCTCTTGATTCTGCAATTCTCAATAAACAGTTTTAATTCATATTATAAATAACTTTTTGCTAACCTATTATCTCAGAATATATATATATATATATATATTTTTTTTTTATCTAGAATCAAAAATGTTACTATCGCTTGGGAAATCTTAGAGTCTTAATTATAACAAGAAAGTACTTACTGACAAGGTAAGTTCGATTTCTTTATGATTGTAGTTTTTAGAAATCCTTTTCTTCAAAGCTTTTACTGCATCTTTTGGCCTACAGCAGTAAATACAGTGAAATCATCAATTTAGGCATAGCTGAAAACACGTAGCCTCTGAAAAGCAATATCCATTGCAGAAAGAGGTTCTGCTGTGTGACCCTGGGTGACACTTCTCACACTTGTTTCCTCATACATCTAGGCAGACAATAACACCTTCTGAGAATCAAATATTTACTATAGCACTGTTTGCAATAAAAACTAGAAACTTAAATATCCAATAATATTACATTGAATAACTTGTGGTAATCCCTATTAAGAAATAATCTGTGGCTTTTCAAAACGTCTTATTAAATGGAATAACAATGCCTTGGAAAAAAGGTTCATCACATGTTAACAGCAACAAAAGTGGGTTATGATCAAAACTCTAAAAAGTTAACTATATACCATATATAGTTATTATATACCATTGATCAAATATAAAACACAGGGTGATCTCAATAGATATAGAAAAAGTATTTGATAAAATCCAACATCCTTTCATAGTAAAATTAAACAGCAAACTAGGAATAGAAGAAAATTTTCTCAACTTGACAAAGGGCATCTAAGAAAAACCCACAGCTACTATCAAACTTAGTGATAATAGATCATAAACTTTTCCTCAAGACCAGGAACAAAACAAGTATGAATGCTCTTGCTAATTCTATTCAGCACTATTAGTAAAGTTATAGCTAGGACATTTAGGCAAAAGAAAAGAAAGAAAATACATCCAAACCAGAAAGGAAGATGTAAAAGTATTCCCATTTGCAGATGATATATTTCATGGAGAAAATTCTAAGGAATCCAAAATAAATTATTAGAATAAATTTAAGGATGTTATAGGATACAAAAATTAGTACACAAAAATTCATTATATTTCCATACACTAGTGATAAACAATCTCAAAATGAAATTTAGAAGATCCCATGTATAAAAAAAAGTTAACTATAGTTTTGTTGGGTGATGGAGTCATTTGTGATTTTTTATCTTATGTTTATCTGTATTTTATCAATTTCCTCTGAGAGTCATGCATCACTCATGTAAATCTTGAAAAATGTTTATTTAAAATTAAATTTTAACCATTCCCATACACACAAAAATTTACATGAGTACTGTCTAGAAAGCACTGCTACACATGAAATATACTCATACTTATATCCCTCTAACAATGCACAGATCCAGTTTACAGGAAATGTAATTTCCAAAACAATGAAGGTTACCCATTTTGATTAAAAGACTCCGGTATTTCCTGATCATCCTATAGGCATGAGATGTACGAGGAATTACTACTAACTAGATCAGCTTCTGACATGCTATGATTTTATGTTACAAAAGGAAGAATTATGCAGTATTAAGTAGAGGGTCAAAATTTACTTTGAGATGGTCAAAAGGTACAAACTTGCACTGATAAAATAGACAAGTCATGGGGACATAATCTACAATATGGTGACTATAATTAACACTGACGTACAGTGTACTTGAAAGTTTCTAGGAGAGTAGACTGTAAAAGTTATCATCACAAGGAAAAAAAGTTTTTGAAACTATATGAAGTGAGGGATGTTAACTAAACCTACTATGGTAATTGTTTACAATATATGTATGTCAAGTCATTATACTGTATATTTTAAACTTATACAGTGCAGTATGTCAATTAGATCTCAATACAACTGAAAAAAGATACCAATCTTTTTTACATATTACCTTCCAATTTTGCTTGTTATGATTGCCTGTGTAGATTTCTATTATATGATAATTATATGATATTACATATGCTTACATGGAAGTGTAACTATTATACAATACATTATATAGAGATATCTCTTTCTAAAAAAATCTTAAATAAAATCTAGAATTAAACTCTTGGAAAGTTTAAAAGAATAAAGATACTGTTTTAAAAGGAAAAGAGTTTTTACTTTGAGATTCTCTTTTTGTATTATCAGTGAAGAAAAGGTTCACAGAATAATCAAATATAGTAAACGAGGTTACACAGAAAGCAACATAAACACTTTAAAGTACTAACCAAAAGCACTTTCATTGATATGGTCAATAACTAAGTGTAATGTTTCCTTCACCAACATAAACAACACTAAATCTTGTGCTATTATCACTTTAATATGTACAATAAAATTAACAGACTATATGGTGGCATTTGCATAGTGTAGTGGTTAGCACATCCGTTTTACACGCAGAAGGTCCTGGCTTCGCGCCCCAGGTGGAGCCACGGACCATGCCCCGGTGCACCAGGCCCCTGGAGTATGCAGGGGGTGCCAGGCCCGCCCAGGGTGCGCGGGTGTACGCTGAGAGCCTGTGGGAGGAGACGCCCCGCCTTCAGAGATCTAGTTCTTAAAAGGGAAACGGCAACATCCATAGGTCAGGGGTGGAAGTAGTGGGGGAGGGGGGAATTAAAGAGCGGAAAAAAAGAAAATTAACAGATTTATAACCCTTATAACAATCTATAATTCAGATTAAATTCACAAAATAGTTGGCCTCAACAATTTAAAAAAAAAAACAATTCTCTTAAGTTTAAAAGTGTAACAAAAGAGAGTTCATTTAAGAATACAGCATAAACATGGGCAAGCTAGCATTCAGAAGAAAAAAGTTGTCTTGTGACAAGGAGAGGAAAAAGATTGCTAGATTATTTCCTGGTTACAATAATGTCAATTGCTCAGAGACAGGTCGCCCCGTTAGTTCACTAGCTTCTTGATTACATTTTTCAGTTACAGGAACATAAAATATCAGCAATCAGAGCAGGGGGAATTCCTAAAGAAAACAATCTCTCCTTTAAAAAAATCGGAAAGAACAAGGAATTTGAGCCTCAGAGATAAAATCTGAAACAATTAAAGGCAAAGAGAAAAATTATAATGGATTATCAGACATTCCATATGTGCTGAAACAAGCAGCTCTAACACTTCAATCCGACATGTCTTCAAAAGGCAGCATATACCTAAGTGGTGATGAAAACATTCTTTCAACAAGAAAACTAAAGAGTTTGCAAAAGACATTGTGCCGTAGTTCTGATGCTTATCAGAGGTAAATGCAAGAACCACACACTGTACTCACCCATCGTTGGCAGTGTTAATAATATCACAAATGTGCATGAACTGGCCCCAATCTTCAGTCTGAACGCCAGCAAATGTAGCCTTTTCTGCAAAGAAAAAGCTGTTGTGTTGACTCTGAGCTACAACAGAGTAAAAAATGTCTGGTCTTTCTAAAATAATCTGTCTGCAGGTTGCTAGCAAGCACCATTACATTTATATTACCAAAGGGCAAAGAACTTTTTTCTGAGCAATTCTCAGTAATTCAGGAATCAATCAAAACCCAAGTTCAGAGTGCTGTTGTAGCAAGAGTAATGAGTGACCTATTAATAAAGACTTGTAGACACAACACCTGGCTGTAGGGCTAGGACAGGCCCATTAAAGCTCCGTCTGCCTGGTTGTTCTTCAGGGACAAACAGGTACCTACCTGTTGAGCGGCCACCTATAAAGTGAAATACATAGTGCTGAGTATTTTATATAATTTCACTTAACCCACTGTTATAGAAGGAATAGAAGTTCAGAGAAATTAAGGAAAGTATGCAAAGTTACACAGCCAGTACAAGGTACAAATGGCATTCAAATCTAAGCTGTCTGATGCCAGTTTTCAGTTTTAAAATCATTTCTTCACCTAGGGCATCGAGACGTTGAGGAAAGGGGATCAGAACTACTGAAACTGTCTGTCCTTTAGCAGTAGAGCAAGGTCACTCCCAGCACCTGTACAAAGGTACACCAGGCAGACTCGAATGCTCTTATACCTACAACTGCATCATTTAACAATCAAGATATTTCTCCCTCTCCAGACATTCTCAAAAAATACAAAACGCTCTCTAGAAAGGGTAACAGAACACTCAGCCTGAATGAGCTTAACATTTTTATTACAAGAAGATCCCTCAGCATGAAAATACCAGGTCCTAGTACAAACGAAGAGAAAATCAAAAAGATAACAAAAGAATATGGATTTGGTTGAGGAAACCGTTTCTCATCTAGGAAAAGAACTATTTGAATTTGGCATTCAATGGACAAAGCTGGCCAAACTTGTGTTGTTTAGGTATATACTAGTGCCTTTCCTTTTTCCAGACTCCTTGCTCCTCGTTCCATGCTCTTCTTCCCATCTTCCTAGAAAACTCCTTTTCCTAAGTTTTGGGTGTTTTTCGTTTTTCTTATATTGTAAAGGGACCATATTATAGTTACTACAAAATTGTGTATGTCTTCCCTATAAGATTGCACATTCCCTGTGGGTTGAGACCAGGTGTTACCTTTGCCTGGTTCAGGTCCAGGCATACAGTTAGCAGTCAGTAAATGTTTGCAACATTAAAGCATTAATCAGCCTATGCTGATGCAGTCTGAATCCATTTCTACTCAGAGTTCATTTTAATATCTAATGAGATAAAGCCAACAGTTTAGAAAGCATTTCATCCTCAATGATAGTTACTCTCGCACTTTTCTAAAACGTGGTAACGAAGTGGTTTCATGTCACACAGCAGTTAATTGTGCCATCACCCAAACTCTAAATCTGAGCCTCCTCGCTGTAACTACCAGATTCTCCCGACTTCTTCACCTCACTGTACTTAGCATCAATATGCACTGATGCCACACCCGGTTCCCAAAGGAGATATCAGGGAGAACGAGGAAGAACGGAGTTGGTGCTGGTAAAAATCACTGGCTTCTGCACACAGTATTCAGAGTACGGTCACAGGAGAAACGAGTTAAGCAGATCCCCGCATGGTCCTTAGTGTTTTGAGAAGCCTCTGGTGACCTCCAGATCGCTCCTCTGCTTCCCTCTTCATGCATTTTCATTCTTTTTGTTTACCCAGAAAAAGTAAATCAGGTGGTAAGGGCTGAGTGCCAGAGAGAACTGGTTTGAAGAGGCCTGGCCCTCACTGTGAGGTCACATCACTTAACCTCCTTGACCCTTCTTTTCCCCCCTCTGTAAAACGGACAGAACAATACTGTGCTCTCGAGCGAACGCACTTTACGAATAACCTTCCCCTGGCCAAGAAGTTTACGCCCTCTTCTTGTAGAGGCCCCGACACTGCACACCTGAATCCCATGCTGTGGCTCACCTGCTCGGTTCCACTCCCCAGGAGGCATTAAAAGGGAGGCATATTTTGAGGAAGGGGTTAGTAGGAGGAGTCGGCCATAAAGAAATGCCTCAAAGGGGCTGGGTTTGGAATGCGGGTGCCCTGGGAAAGTCGCAGGGGGAAGGGGAAGAATTGCCTCAAACTTGACCAACAACGTCCTCCTCTGGCCGTGAAGGGAGTCAAACCGGAAGGGTACCCCGACCCCCAAAGCCTCCGCGGGAGTCTTCCCCCGCACCTCTTTACCTATGAGGTGGCCCACGGAAGTCGCATAGGGATCCCGGTGACTCTTCCCAAACGCCATGGTAGCCCCAGGGAGCCGGGCCCAGGAAATCCGCCTCCTCAGCTCTCGGGCTCCCGACTCCACCCGCTCGGTGTCCCTGGCTCCTCCTCTTCGCCCGAGCGCTTCCCGGGCTCCGGGTGGAGGCTGCGCGTCTTGCCCGGCCGCTACGGGGCGCCCGGCACCCGGAGTCCGCCGCCGGGGCGGGGACACGGGCGCCCGCGCACCTGCCACGCGCCCGGCGGAACTGGCGAGGTGGCGGTGCTGCACGCTCCAGGTGGGACTAGCCTGCGGCTGCCGCAACGTGCAGCCCGCGAGAGGGACACGGGGAGCGGGCTCCGGACCTAGGGGGGCCTGTCGCCCCCGCGGAGCTGGACCGCCCCGGAGCCACAGAGTGGGAATTCGAGACACCCGCTCTGATCCCGCCGCCTACTGGGCAGATTGCTGCCTTTCTCTGCTCCTCTTGCACTACTTAGTAGAGAAAAAAAAATAGAGGGTTAATAACACAAATCTCGGGATTATTTTGAGAATTAGGGATGTAAACCGCTTAGGTCGGTGTCTGGCATCCGCAAAATAAATCTTCAACCACTGAATGAATCGAGTAACCAGAAATATTTACTCCCACCCCCACCCTCGCCCCAGAGATCCGGGAAGGGAGGTGTGTCCCTTTAAAGCTGCAGGTGATAGAGGGAATGAATGGCTTTAGGTTTAGGGGCCTCCCCGGCGCCGTCCTTTGTCTCGCTCCTGTTTCCTGAGGGACCACAGTGCGTCGCCAGGCAAGCTGTCGGTTCCTAACCCATCCTCTGGGAGCCGTGTTTTCCAGCGCTGCCGAGAAGAGAAAAGGGACTTTCTCTCTGCTCAGGCTTGGCGCGATTCTGGCCTCAGGACAGCTTTGGAATGTAAATCCGAGTTTGAGCAGTCTAACCTCTCTCCAGCTGCCCTTTCAGAAGCGGAATTTATTTCCTGTTGTGTGTGTGTGTGCATTCAATTAACATTTGGTTACCGATATTAATCTCCAACGATGCCGGAGCCTGCTGGAGTGGGGTTCTCCAGGTGATGGCAATTAGCTGTAAGGTGGGATCCCCTGTGCCTCCAGATTTGCTTCCTGCTATCAACCTGGGCCCAATTCCACAAGCTCTTCTTTGGCCCTGGAAATGGTGACAAGAGGGATCAAAGGGGGCGTGGTCTGACTTATGTCCTTAGTCTTATGTATATTAAAATGGAAGTCAAAACCAACTGCAGTGGTCGCCAAGAGGCTTTTTTTTTTCTCTCTAATTCTAATTTTCCTTGACCTAAGTGACCTGGAATTCTAAAATCTGGAATGAAGCATTTTGTTGTGATGGTATTTCTCATAACAGGATTGGTCCTACCTGTAACCAATATTCTCTCCACTGCATATCCAGGGTGAGTATTGATTTCAGATGGTGCCATTTAACAACATCCTTAGTCATGACTACAGCCTCTGCTGAGGCCGTTGAAAACCTCTTTTGGGACATCAGCAACCTACTCTATTCCATGTAATAGACAGTAGCAAAATATTTTGTCTTCTCTGAAGCTTATAATCAAGCAACCTTAAGGAGAAAGTCAATTTTAGCTCAGGCTGCTGGTTGGTGTCAGTGGCCTTTCATCAGGGAATAAGAACTAGGAAGGAACCAACCATCCGGACAGATTTTTTAGCATAACTGATACTTCTTATGTGAGAGGTTATTTTGTCTTTTCTTGTGTTTCAGGACTGAGGCACTTAGGACAGGAGAAATGGCACCAGGGAGCATGTTCAGGACGTTATGGCTGGGTAAGCAGAACCAGGTTAATGAGTAGTACCTGGTTCTATCTCAGCTATGCCTGAGGAGCTTTTCCCTCCGTGTTCCCACGACGGTGTTGTGATGGCCACAGTCTTCCCTTTCTGCACTCTGCCACTTTCTCCATGATCCCCCGACTCCCCAGGGAGGAAGTCAACTCAGTCAATCTTACCATAGTCTGGGAGCAGGATACTAGAATTCATAGCCAAGTTAAGGTGAGAGAATGGACAGAATTCTGGAAAGAAACAAGGGTAAAATTTCTGGGTACCAGGAGCAAAATCTCATCATGATTTCACTTCCAAGAATACTAAGTATTTATTTATATGTTAGTCATGATGCTAGTTGGAAGCAAGGAAAATAACCTTTGTTAAAAATACTCTTAGTGCATGTAAATGTGGAATAACTATGGTGTACACCTGAAATTAATACAATATTGTATGTTAGCTATATTGTAATAACATCTTTTTAAAAATACGCAATATAAATACTTCTATAAAAGTGAGTTTGCAGTAGAAAATAAAATAATAAAATACACTAAGTGCACAATCCCGGAGGCAAGTAGCATTCACTTCATTTTTACAAATATGTAATCTGAGATTAAGAAAAATAGAGCTAAAAAATATTTTGGCTACAGTTTGAATCAGCTCTAGCTGATTCTAAAGTCCATATTATGGCCACTAGGTGAATCTGCTCATTGAGCATGACCACTCCTTATTTTTAAAAAAGATCATTTGATTCAAAGGGAGACCTCTTGAAGAAGATAGGAATAGGGACAGTCATACATATACTTTGCTGGGACAACATCCTGTTCTTTTTGTACTTGTTCAAGAATGCTAATATTTTCTATATTATATGCTAGTTGTGCTCTAAATACATTATTTGTATTATCTCATTTAATCCCATAACAACTTTGACTCCAGAAGCTGTGACTTTAACTTTTGTACTATGCACTTCTCATGGGTAGAGCTCTAGGTGGTCAGTGGTACCATTGACTAGTTCACACTTTTTAACAAGTGGGTTCTAGGGCATGTGCCTAGAGAATGAGGTGACTGAACATGGCAAGTACATATGTCTAGAAAACAAAGTTGACCCATCATCAGGCTTTACGAAGCTGTCATTTTTATCCTCACATTGAATTCTATTCTTACCACTAAATTTCTTAGATTGTCAGATCTGGACATGACCTTAGAAATCATAGTCTCTATCCCCATCATTTTATGAATGAAAAAAAGTGACAGCCAAAGAAGGGAAGTGACTAGCCCCAGGCCTTGCAGCTTCAGGCCAGGAGAATGCAACACAATAGCTTAACTCTGAGTCCTAAACTCTTCCCACAACAGGCACCTTCTGTCTGTTTTAATATTTAAATGTGCTCCCTCAACCTTCCTCACAGTATCTTCTCTAGCCCTCTCTTCATCCTCCTCTTTTTCCATAGTTGAAGTTCCAAACCCATTTTCCCTCCCAATTGTCCCACTGTGGAAACTAATTTTCGTAGCAATATAAACATCAAATCTAACAGCCTCACCCTCTTAACCCTCTCTGTAGTATGTGATGCCCCTCCTATTAACCTTTCTTTCCTCCATTTTTATATCCTATATTCCTTTTACTGACTGCTACTTCTCATGATCTTCACCTGGCTTAATTTTCCTCCCCAGCCTGCTAAACCAGGTAAGCCATCCCACAGTTTTACAATCTACCTTTTCCTCTTCTTCCATTTCCCTAAGGATACCTTCTTCTTGTTCCTTTATGACGCCTCTTCTTACCACTCCTGAGAGAACTGAGCCCTCCTCTCCTGTCCTACATACAGATTTCTTAGAGCTCACAACACTTTATAATACTCCTTTGCTTAGAAACCTGTTCACTGCCTCCTAAACATAAGCCCCTCAAGGGAACAGGACCCTATTTTGTTAGACTTGGTATCCAGGCACTTAAGAGTCCTCAAGGGATGCTTACTGAACGCATGAAGGGCTCTCCCAAATCTTGAGCTGCTCTAGACTTCCTGAGATCTAGTTCTTAATTCCTTCCAGGATGCCTTGTTAGAATCCTGACCTTGTCATAGTTGGAATTACTATACTCGTCCCCTTCCTCCATCATCTCAATATCCTACCTGACTTGTTTTGATGGACAGGATTATTGATATATTGGAATCACATGGGTTGCTGTAAAGACTACTGATGCCTGGGACGTACCCTTAGCGATTCTGATTTAATGAGCCTGGGATGCATCAAGGGCATCAAGATTTTTAAGTGTCCCAGGATGGGCTAATTGTACCACAATTTCCCAAATAAAATATCTTGAAGTTATCCTCGACTTTTTCCTTCTAATCAGTTCTGGATTCCCCTGTGTTCTTCATCTCTTCTGTCTTCTTCCTCTATGGACATTGCTCAATCCAGCAATTCTCTAATGGCATGAGCCTTAATACTGTTTAGGGGTAAAATTGAACCGAAGCTTGGATTGTCCCAAACATAACCAAAACCTGTGCATCTAAAAACATTATCTTTAAAATTGACCATCTTTTACACAATAATTTTACCCATTATTTTTGAAAACCGTAGGTACAAAGATATATGTTAACATTATTTCCACTTATTTTTTAATATATTAAATCTTGGCCATTCCTGATTCTGGAAATTAACTTTTCAAAGCTCAGCCTTCCCTATCTTTCTGCCTGTGGGATCACCTCAATCATCTTAACATGAGGGGGCTTCTCTTCCCTAACCCCATCCCAAGGACTGTTTTATTCCATTTCTAAGGGCTTTCATTAAACTCAGAGACCCAAGATGAAAGAGGACAAGGGAACCAACATTCTAGACTTCCCATTGTGCCAGTTACTGTACAAAGTGCTTTGGTATCTCCAATAAAACTCATACTATTCTTATAAACCGAGAATCACTATTTCCATTTTTACTGACTTGACTAAAGTCACTCAGAATTGGGAGATGAATTGGGGTTTACCTCATTCCAAAGTTTAGGCCTTTTTCTAATTTCATCTTGCTGCACCCAGAGCAAGGGTGATGTCATTGATCTTTGGAAGTACCTGTAGCATCTAGCCCAGCGCTCCTCATCCAGCAGTGCCAAATGGAAACTTCTTGATGGACTTAAACATTTACCCTTCCTCCAATATTGAACTTTAAGCCACACAAATAATTTCATTAGCTGCCCTCATCATCTTTACAGTGAAAGAGCTCCATTGAGGTCTAGGACTAAAGGACATCCGTTGGCTAAATTTGTCATCTCAAAGGAGTCCTATGAAGCTTAAAACCAAAGTTTTATCTGGAAAGTAAACTAAGGGAACCAATATGTTTGTAACCTAAGCCAACTAGTTTTC